TAAAATTTGCGAATTCACGAAAATGGCAAAAGTTGCGCTGAGGCCAAAAGTTGCGTGCACAACTTGCGGGTTGTGCGCGCAAATTTCTTTGAGGACAGCTGTACATCCACATCAGTAGTAGAACAGCTAGATCTATCAAACTTGACAGTTAATGTTCAACTGTTTTTTCTGCATGTGTTGGTTTGCACCAGAATGTGTTGAATCCTCTTATAGTAGTACAGCTAGAAAGTCTAGATCTAAATAACTTGACAGCTTATATTCAACCTAAATCCACAACAACAATATGTTCACATAAACAAGTCTGATGAAAAAATCAAGCTCTCTTCAGAATTTCTTTTCTTGGCAAGCCCAAGATCTATTGAACCACAATCGTCATGTCTTCCTCTTGTTTACAGAGCTTGTGCTCTGCTTGTGCTTTAGAAAGTGAAAGTAGAAGACACTGTCTACACTTTCAAATAAAAGAGCACTTCCTGTACGGGTTAGCTATTAGTAATTACGGACATTTTTTATTTCGCATTTTTGAAAATAATTTTTTAAAATATTTTTGCTCGAATTTTGAAGGAAATTTTTCCATTTGCGGAATTCTGCTAATTTGCGGAAATCCGCAAAATTGCGGAAGACTGGAGGCTCTGATTTGTTTACATGTATTATATGTGTTTGTGTGTATATTCACTTGTATTTGTGTGTATGTGTACATTTATATCTATTTGTGTGTGTATGTGTGTAGTTATATCTGTTTGTGTGTGTGTGTATATTGATATGTATTTGTGTTTGTCTGTACATTTACTTATATTTGTGCGTGTATGTGTGTACACTGATATGTATTTTTGTGTGTACATTTATATGTATTTGTGTGTTTGTACATTTACTTGTATTTGTGTTGGTATGTGTTTACAGTTATATTTATTTTTGTTTGTATGTTGTGTACATTGATATGTATTTGTGTGTGTGTGTGTACATTGATATGTATTTGTGTGTGTGTGTTTCAGGGTCGAGCCTGTCCCTGGGCCAGGTGCAGCAGATGGTGTACCACCCGCCGGCGTCCATACAACACAACGAGTACATTGTCCACAACGCTGACCAGGTGGCCATACGCTATCTGGTCATGTACAACGGATAGGCTTCCTCACTCACTCCCTCACTCACTCATGCTTCAGCATTTCATTGAGGCTTTTCAAAATGTTTGTTTGTCACGGGTTATTTTGTTTTGTTTTGGGAAAAAGCGCGTGTCCCCGAAACCCCGCTCCTCCCTCCGTGAGGTTATTAGAGGGTTTTTTTGGTGGGTTGTTTTGTTTGTTTTTCTAAACAAAAGCTCATATATATGGCTGCTGGTTGTGGGAATTTTAAACAGTCAAAT